TTTCAACAAATGATTATTTACATAAAATATACTGTAATACACACATAATAATATAATGCAAAAATTTAATTTATAACTACTCTATATAATTTTACATTTATTTATTCATTCCGACAACAAGTGACCTTGACTATAATAGCAGTAATTATTTAAACGAAATTCAAATAAAAGATTAAGCTGTATAGATAAATGCAGTTAATGAAATTGAAATATCCAGAACAATACATACTATAAATCTATTTTGTTTATATAATGTAGACATAAAATTTGAAAAAAAAAAAAATAATAATGATAATAATATTCCTTTTCCCTTGTCTAAATAATGAAAATATCTTCATTTTGTTTTGTTTTATAAGTATAGGGCATAAAATTTTTATTAAGTAATTTTTTTATTACAAATATTTTTATAACCTTCATCACTATTTTAAAAAAAAAACTTTATAAATTGAAATGTAAATACATATTAATCTGCTTATATAATGGATAAAATATTATTCATATTTTGTAAAAATAATAAAATTGATTTTCCTGGATAATTTCTAATTAGAGGCTATGTATGGATACTTTTGTAAATTTAAAAAACAAAACTTTGATGTTTTTATTACAACTTTTTTGGGATTAAACTCAAATTACAAAAACTCACTATTTTACAATGAAATAATGAAATGTAAATTAGCATGTTATAATCTAAAAATAAAAAAAAACAATAGCATGACTCATCTATTAAGGTATTCTTAATTGCATTAAAAAAAGATATTTGTTAAAATTATTTATTAATTAATATTCTTCACTGAATTCAACATAAACGCCTAAACACCTTTACAGGTGTGGTGCGTATGTAAAAATACCCATATCTGGTCCTCAATGTTATTTTGACCATATTTTGCAAAATAAAATTTAAATGTTTTCTTTTTCTCATTTTGTTTTTTCTTTTGCACTTATCTTATAATCGTTTACCGCCGACGTAACTTTCTAAGAACTCTAAATCTTTTTATAGCTGTTAAAATAATCTCTTTACTGCATAATTGAATTAAGTGTGTACGTTTTTAAAACTTATATCTTAATTGCATAAGTATCCTGTAATCCGTGTATTCGAAAAGAAAAAAGAAAACAAATAAAAACAAATAAAAAATAATAATAAACTATTCACACTACAGTACATTTGTTATAGAAGGGTGGGGTGGGGGGAAAATGTTGTCATTCGAAAACGTGATAGATACACGAAAGAGAATGACTATAATTTTACACCTCTTTCATTCCACTTATTAATTTATTGTACGAAAAACCAGGAATGCAGACTTCAAAACGAATTAAATTTTCACGTAAACACGGAAAATGACTTATGACGTTTCAACGCTATAATCAAAACAAAGCATTAAGATAAGCTCCTCTTATCATATTTGAAAACAATGTCTGATGTTTATAAAATCTGTCTTAATATTTTATTGATTATTTGAAGAAAACAACAAAATTTTTCTAAGTAAAATATACGGAATAGAATTTTATATAGAATAATAAAATTTATTGAATCGAACTGTAGCGATAACGACAAACGGGAGTGAAAGGAAAATCTATAGGCTATAATAAAATACATTTAAGTATAGTACAAGCCGTGTAGCATTTTATTTCCATCACGAACGTTATGTCGAATATATATATATAGCATCCAAATTGATTAAGTACTGTAATGTACTGAATTTCTTTTATTTTAATTTTGTTCTCTTTAATTTCAATAAAATCTATAGATTTAAATTGAGAATCGTAAAGTCGCTTTTCAGTTATAAAAATTGTCCAGTTAATAACTTTAAATACATAAAATTATTATTATTTTCTCAAATACGTTATTTATTCTCATTATCATATACTAAGTAACATAAAATACAAATTGTTTATGTGTATAATTTATAATTATGTAACTTAATTACATATTTTACGAGTTATTTGTCTGTATAATTTTTTATACAGTTCACTTCTGAGAATATCTTTTTCCTAAAATCTAATATTTAATTTTAATTTGATTGATGTCGGCCTTAATTTATAAACACTTGAATGAAACAACTTGCTTTTCAAAAGTTCAAAATTAACATAAATCTTTATTAATATAATAACTAAAATAATATCGAATGCTAATTTATATTTTTAGCAAAAAAAGAAAATTATTTCCTCTATTCAGCTTCTTACAATATTACTGACAAATTACATTTATTGTTGAATAAATTATAATTATTCTCAGTATTGAAGAGTGATCTTTATGTAGATAATATATATATATTATTATTAAATGCAGTCATTACTTCATGAAACCGGAAAAAGGAAAAACTTATTTATTGTGTCATACAGTAAAGCTGGAAAGTTAAGACCCGTAATATCGGGGCAAATAAATATTTTGCCATTACTTGAATAATTATATTATAAAAAATATTACTCGTATTATTTTAAATGTAATATTATATAAAAACTGCCGATGAAATATCGATTCCAATTCATTTCTAGTCTTACAAGTTACAAGAACAATTAAAACTTTATCACGATAAATTAGTTCGCATTTTAAGTTTTTAAAAAAGTCTATTGTTTATATTCATGTTTTTTGATCTATATGAAAATTTCTTATTTAATTTTCTACTTGTTACTAATATTTACATTAAACTTCAAAATATATTATTGCATATTAAAGGCTTGTCGGTTTTCTTTTACTACGTAAAGAATGTGGTATATATTCATGCTATTGACAGATTTATTCGATCTCGGTTATGTAAAATAGTGATGAGCAATAGANCACCTCTTTCATTCCACTTATTAATTTATTGTACGAAAAACCAGGAATGCAGACTTCAAAACGAATTAAATTTTCACGTAAACACGGAAAATGACTTATGACGTTTCAACGCTATAATCAAAACAAAGCATTAAGATAAGCTCCTCTTATCATATTTGAAAACAATGTCTGATGTTTATAAAATCTGTCTTAATATTTTATTGATTATTTGAAGAAAACAACAAAATTTTTCTAAGTAAAATATACGGAATAGAATTTTATATAGAATAATAAAATTTATTGAATCGAACTGTAGCGATAACGACAAACGGGAGTGAAAGGAAAATCTATAGGCTATAATAAAATACATTTAAGTATAGTACAAGCCGTGTAGCATTTTATTTCCATCACGAACGTTATGTCGAATATATATATATAGCATCCAAATTGATTAAGTACTGTAATGTACTGAATTTCTTTTATTTTAATTTTGTTCTCTTTAATTTCAATAAAATCTATAGATTTAAATTGAGAATCGTAAAGTCGCTTTTCAGTTATAAAAATTGTCCAGTTAATAACTTTAAATACATAAAATTATTATTATTTTCTCAAATACGTTATTTATTCTCATTATCATATACTAAGTAACATAAAATACAAATTGTTTATGTGTATAATTTATAATTATGTAACTTAATTACATATTTTACGAGTTATTTGTCTGTATAATTTTTTATACAGTTCACTTCTGAGAATATCTTTTTCCTAAAATCTAATATTTAATTTTAATTTGATTGATGTCGGCCTTAATTTATAAACACTTGAATGAAACAACTTGCTTTTCAAAAGTTCAAAATTAACATAAATCTTTATTAATATAATAACTAAAATAATATCGAATGCTAATTTATATTTTTAGCAAAAAAAGAAAATTATTTCCTCTATTCAGCTTCTTACAATATTACTGACAAATTACATTTATTGTTGAATAAATTATAATTATTCTCAGTATTGAAGAGTGATCTTTATGTAGATAATATATATATATTATTATTAAATGCAGTCATTACTTCATGAAACCGGAAAAAGGAAAAACTTATTTATTGTGTCATACAGTAAAGCTGGAAAGTTAAGACCCGTAATATCGGGGCAAATAAATATTTTGCCATTACTTGAATAATTATATTATAAAAAATATTACTCGTATTATTTTAAATGTAATATTATATAAAAACTGCCGATGAAATATCGATTCCAATTCATTTCTAGTCTTACAAGTTACAAGAACAATTAAAACTTTATCACGATAAATTAGTTCGCATTTTAAGTTTTTAAAAAAGTCTATTGTTTATATTCATGTTTTTTGATCTATATGAAAATTTCTTATTTAATTTTCTACTTGTTACTAATATTTACATTAAACTTCAAAATATATTATTGCATATTAAAGGCTTGTCGGTTTTCTTTTACTACGTAAAGAATGTGGTATATATTCATGCTATTGACAGATTTATTCGATCTCGGTTATGTAAAATAGTGATGAGCAATAGAGAATCGCGAGTGAATTCATCGTTCTTATTTGTTTATATATATGATATGATTTATTCGATTTTAATAAACTGATATTAAAGAAATAACGTATTTCCTTTCATAATAATCAGATATCTCGTATCGTAACTAATATGTAAATAGATTACTACGGTAATATGTTTAAAAAATAAATAAATATTTAAAATATATCAAAGTTTACTTTGCCAGTTTGTTCCAACATCTAGAATTTATTGCTTAACTTCATACTTCTAATTAAAATAAAATAAAAATAAAATAAAATACGAATAAGTAAATTTTTCATTTCTTTGGAATCAAAATAATTAAATTATATATATATAATTTTGCCTCGATATTTAAAAAAATATCTTAATTATCTTCATTATTTTAATATTTAAATACTCTAATAATAAAAAGGAATCAATTATAAACATCTGTTTATGGAACTATATATTCTGTTTATCTTATCTAATACATTATTTAATATTGATAATATAAAAGCAATAGTTTAATTATTATTTATTAATATTTATATCGATATATATACATAAATATTTCTTTATTTTGAAGTAAAAAAATGTAAGTTTCGAACTACCACAGACCACGTGTTTTCTGCCTCACATGGTGACAGCAGAAACATATCAACACTTACCTAGTATATGAAAGTAATGGCAAATACTTAATTGAATTTACTTACTATTTATAAATGCGTTCACTCGGCTGCCTAGAACGATATTAACGATTGTCCTAAACAATTTCGCTTTGACAATCCGAATGGAGGGAACTAGATACAATACTTCCCGCTGATTATAGATGGCGCTTGTGTATAGCTTATTTACTTCACTTCCTTTTCCGTTTAAATGCTTACTTAATTTTACACGTTTACTTAATTTAAAGGTTATTCCAGTAATTGAAAAAGGTTATTCGATTTAATTTACTTTGGTATTAACATTTAATTATGGATCCTCTCCGGTTTGTAATCTGTTAATAAAGAAGTGTCGGGTTGCGAAGAGCGATCACGTGACGAAACTATAAACAATTGGTTGGTAAGGAGTGCACAAGTGAAAATTTAACAAAGCGCTATTTATTATTAAATACTTAAAAAGTTCTTAGACAAAATCACGCAATTATTAACTTTAAAATTATGTAAAAATTATAATTTTTTGGTTACATTTTTAACTGTGGTTGTTTTTATATATCACATATTTATTTCATTGTTTAGGAGCAAATCTGAAATATAATACTATATTATACATACTTACTATGCGTGCGTATAGTTTACAAAGCTGTTTATTTATATTTTAAAGAGTATTTCTAAAGTAATATATTATTTAAAGGATGTCTATACATTTTAATTTATTATTTAAAATTTATTGCACTTTTTTTTCTTTTGTTCTTGTTTAAAAATGATATATTATAATTATAATACTTTTTGGGATTTTATTTATATAGATAATTTACAATTATATTAATCGCATTTAACGCAAATTTAATTAAAAAATTAAATTTTAGGTGTTTTGGTGAAATTGGTGTGATTTATTTACTGAGAAAGCGGTAGATAATTAAATTTTGCTTTAAATGCGATCAATATAATTAAAATTGAAATATATATTAATATTTAATTATCTCTTTAAAAAGAGATAATTATATCGATTGCGTATATAAGCCTATTAAAATAGACAATCCATTCTAGTCCTCCCTATCTGGTACAGTGGTATCTATAATTGTTTTTACGTAACTATAACATGAAAAGTTTTATTCATAAAAGGCTATAAAGACTTAACTTTCATATTAAATATTAGAATAGAGAGTTTCAAATAGAAAGATCGCAATAATAGACTATAGACTATAATTGGCATGTAAGGAACGTGCAGTCTTTTATGGTACCATTGCTTGAGGCTTATACTTTAACATAGCGCTAAGTTTAATTTTGCTAGCATGAATTAGAGCTATAAAATCTTTTCTGTTCCCTTTATAAATTACTGTATTATTAAACGCTTTTATTTAAATTGTTTTTTATCATGTACTCAAATCTTGCAACTGAAATTTTTCATTCCCCTCTAATTAAGATGAAAGACCGAAACTTTGAGAACATACCTAACTCAATGCATTGCATTTTGATATTTTAGGGGGTGGTCTAACCACCATTCTCTCCACCCGGAAACCTCATAAGCAGAACCAAATGTAGAATTTAATTGTGATGTATGTGTGTAAATGCGCTATAGTAAAGTATATAGTGAGAGTGGACTACCCGACCATCTCCCTCCCAACCTCGGAAAATATGACTAGTAAAAGTGTTTTATTAATTGTTTAAAATGTATTAAAATGATTACTTTTCATTAAGTAAATCTATTTGAATATATGATATATTTTTTGTGCATTTATCTTTGAATGTGTAGGCTATATATACACGGATTTATGTAACTTGCAATACAACATGCAACTTTATAAGCTATTTTTAAGATGGAATGTGGTATTCTGATTAAAAGGGTTACTCACCTTTAGTTTAACCTCTTACCGAATAATAGAATACATTAACTCAAATCGATAGAAGATATTGTACGACGGCCGGATGACCGAAGCAGCTAACAGTGGCGTATCCGGAATTTTGAGAAGAATAAAGGCACTGCTCAAGAAAGATTCGAGAGGATTAATTAAGACAGGTGTCTCCTATCATTTTCGGAGAATATTACTCAATTACCTTAGAATTATTTTACTTACTTAACCTTAACTAATTGAAGTCATTCAATATGCGTTATTATTTGGGGAGTTCCGAAGAGATTAACTGGATGGTGTCTACTAGGTTTTTTTTTCACATGCTAGTAACATGAGCGTGTTTAGTCTTAAATCTGTCATCGTTGATCTTAGGTAATTTTTAAACCTCTTCATGTCACTGAATACGCACTCGTTAGTTGCAACCACGGTGTGAGAATACAGGCGATACTACTACTATTGTTTTAGGGTGCGACTATAGAGCGAGAGAAAATATGTGGCGAGAAGAGATGATGACGTGACATGTTCCCGTCGAACTCGTGGAGTAGAAGCGTGAATTATCGTACTACAGTATATACAAATAAGACATAAAATGGCNAATTATACATATAATTTTGCCTCGATATTTAAAAAAATATCTTAATTATCTTCATTATTTTAATATTTAAATACTCTAATAATAAAAAGGAATCAATTATAAACATCTGTTTATGGAACTATATATTCTGTTTATCTTATCTAATACATTATTTAATATTGATAATATAAAAGCAATAGTTTAATTATTATTTATTAATATTTATATCGATATATATACATAAATATTTCTTTATTTTGAAGTAAAAAAATGTAAGTTTCGAACTACCACAGACCACGTGTTTTCTGCCTCACATGGTGACAGCAGAAACATATCAACACTTACCTAGTATATGAAAGTAATGGCAAATACTTAATTGAATTTACTTACTATTTATAAATGCGTTCACTCGGCTGCCTAGAACGATATTAACGATTGTCCTAAACAATTTCGCTTTGACAATCCGAATGGAGGGAACTAGATACAATACTTCCCGCTGATTACAGATGGCGCTTGTGTATAGCTTATTTACTTCACTTCCTTTTCCGTTTAAATGCTTACTTAATTTTACACGTTTACTTAATTTAAAGGTTATTCCAGTAATTGAAAAAGGTTATTCGATTTAATTTACTTTGGTATTAACATTTAATTATGGATCCTCTCCGGTTTGTAATCTGTTAATAAAGAAGTGTCGGGTTGCGAAGAGCGATCACGTGACGAAACTATAAACAATTGGTTGGTAAGGAGTGCACAAGTGAAAATTTAACAAAGCGCTATTTATTATTAAATACTTAAAAAGTTCTTAGACAAAATCACGCAATTATTAACTTTAAAATTATGTAAAAATTATAATTTTTTGGTTACATTTTTAACTGTGGTTGTTTTTATATATCACATATTTATTTCATTGTTTAGGAGCAAATCTGAAATATAATACTATATTATACATACTTACTATGCGTGCGTATAGTTTACAAAGCTGTTTATTTATATTTTAAAGAGTATTTCTAAAGTAATATATTATTTAAAGGATGTCTATACATTTTAATTTATTATTTAAAATTTATTGCACTTTTTTTTCTTTTGTTCTTGTTTAAAAATGATATATTATAATTATAATACTTTTTGGGATTTTATTTATATAGATAATTTACAATTATATTAATCGCATTTAACGCAAATTTAATTAAAAAATTAAATTTTAGGTGTTTTGGTGAAATTGGTGTGATTTATTTACTGAGAAAGCGGTAGATAATTAAATTTTGCTTTAAATGCGATCAATATAATTAAAATTGAAATATATATTAATATTTAATTATCTCTTTAAAAAGAGATAATTATATCGATTGCGTATATAAGCCTATTAAAATAGACAATCCATTCTAGTCCTCCCTATCTGGTACAGTGGTATCTATAATTGTTTTTACGTAACTATAACATGAAAAGTTTTATTCATAAAAGGCTATAAAGACTTAACTTTCATATTAAATATTAGAATAGAGAGTTTCAAATAGAAAGATCGCAATAATAGACTATAGACTATAATTGGCATGTAAGGAACGTGCAGTCTTTTATGGTACCATTGCTTGAGGCTTATACTTTAACATAGCGCTAAGTTTAATTTTGCTAGCATGAATTAGAGCTATAAAATCTTTTCTGTTCCGTTTATAAATTACTGTATTATTAAACGCTTTTATTTAAATTGTTTTTTATCATGTACTCAAATCTTGCAACTGAAATTTTTCATTCCCCTCTAATTAAGATGAAAGACCGAAACTTTGAGAACATACCTAACTCAATGCATTGCATTTTGATATTTTAGGGGGTGGTCTAACCACCATTCTCTCCACCCGGAAACCTCATAAGCAGAACCAAATGTAGAATTTAATTGTGATGTATGTGTGTAAATGCGCTATAGTAAAGTATATAGTGAGAGTGGACTACCCGACCATCTCCCTCCCAACCTCGGAAAATATGACTAGTAAAAGTGTTTTATTAATTGTTTAAAATGTATTAAAATGATTACTTTTCATTAAGTAAATCTATTTGAATATATGATATATTTTTTGTGCATTTATCTTTGAATGTGTAGGCTATATATACACGGATTTATGTAACTTGCAATACAACATGCAACTTTATAAGCTATTTTTAAGATGGAATGTGGTATTCTGATTAAAAGGGTTACTCACCTTTAGTTTAACCTCTTACCGAATAATAGAATACATTAACTCAAATCGATAGAAGATATTGTACGACGGCCGGATGACCGAAGCAGCTAACAGTGGCGTATCCGGAATTTTGAGAAGAATAAAGGCACTGCTCAAGAAAGATTCGAGAGGATTAATTAAGACAGGTGTCTCCTATCATTTTCGGAGAATATTACTCAATTACCTTAGAATTACTTTACTTACTTAACCTTAACTAATTGAAGTCATTCAATATGCGTTATTATTTGGGGAGTTCCGAAGAGATTAACTGGATGGTGTCTACTAGGTTTTTTTTTTCACATGCTAGTAACATGAGCGTGTTTAGTCTTAAATCTGTCATCGTTGATCTTAGGTAATTTTTAAACCTCTTCATGTCACTGAATACGCACTCGTTAGTTGCAACCACGGTGTGAGAATACAGGCGATACTACTACTATTGTTTTAGGGTGCGACTATAGAGCGAGAGAAAATATGTGGCGAGAAGAGATGATGACGTGACATGTTCCCGTCGAACTCGTGGAGTAGAAGCGTGAATTATCGTACTACAGTATATACAAATAAGACATAAAATGGCTAAACATCGACGCTTATTACTTTTACTATTATGATTACTGTGTGAGGTTTCGGAAAGGTCGAAACAAAAATTTAATTTGGAATTAATTAAAAGAGAAAGCACTATTGTGAGGCCCCGGAAATAGTCCCCCCAAAAAGAAAGATAAGTAAAAATTTGTTAAGTTAAACCGTCAAGAAAAAAAATTATATAAGTGTCGAACCGACGACACCGGACTTTGACGTCGACGTTCATCAATAGTAGACGGGAAAACAAAATTTTAGATAAAGAAAAAGAAAATTTAAAAGTTAAGACGCAGTTTAGAAAGCAAAACGAAACTTAAAAAATATCAAAATGAGCGTAGGTGTCATTGTCAACAATTAAACGTGAGCAGAGTCTAAAAGATGGTGTCGGATAAACCATCTCCAGCCGACCTTTCCCGCGAACTTTACGAAGCTCCATTTACACCTGGAGACGGGTGGAAGACCAATTAGAAAACGATGATGTAAGGTCTGTCCAATTAGCAAAAAGCCGATCTCGAAAAACTTATAAAAACACCAATTCCAAGGACAACGAGGCTTCCACTAGGACTTCTACTAAAGCCCTGTCTAGTACATCTGTGATGTTCGTCGTCCTCATCTCTTTGTGCTTCTGCTCGTCGCTATCTTGTCACTGTTCGACTCCGAACTTTAATTAATTAACACTCAATCGCCCCGGGGCTCCTCTCCAGTTTTACGGAAAGAAAACATCAGCCATCCAATCATTAGGACCGAAGACATCTTGGAGTTTTGAATCGAAGGACCTTTTTCTAAAAATATGTAAGCATTTTCGACAAGAATAAACGGTTTTTCTGTGAAACACTTGTCTTTTGCTGTCTCTTAAAACCGCCACCCACATACGCTTAGATCCTAGACCATCCCGACGGTAGGGAATAAAATCTCCCTCCCAATCGGCGTTACACTATTGTCGAGTCGGACCAAAGGTTATGTTAGTTATGTAAGAGAAAAACTGCAGTTGTTAAAACAAATGACGTAACGGATCAGATGGAATGTCGATCAGGAAAGATAGAACTCTGACTCAAGCGCTCATAAACAGTCGATCTAGGAAAACAATTTCGGGAAAGGGAAAATATTTGATGGATAGAAAAACATCGTGCATGATCGTTAAAATTTCAAGACGACAGAAATTACAATCAACGGGCTAAATTATGGACGCAAAGCTTATGGTTCTATCAACGATCTCCGGGTATAGTGTCGAATAGACGCTTCCAATCGGACCTTTCTCGTGACCCGATAAGGTCTCGGTTTGCACCTGAAAACAAAGGAGAGACCAATCGGAAAGCGAAGAATGTGCCGTGGGTCCAATCAGAAATACAGATAGTGGAAGAAAAACTATAAAAATCGGTAATTCAAGGTCGAAGGACTGTCTTTCTCTGGATTAAGCCAAAATCGTGCTCATTAAGTTGTGTTGCCATGGACCATATAGGACTCCGCCGCATCTTCACCGATCATCCGCATCCGTCCAACGAACCCTTCTCGTCTACGACCGATAAACCGAAACTCTCGCCACTTCGAAGGAACATCGAGATTTGGGAACCGTCTAATATCGATGTAAATATGTCTTCATTCGTCTCCTCCTTCACAACCTACATACGAAAATCCCTTACGTTAATCCTGACGCGGAATAAATTGACTCCCCCCTAAAAATCGGCTTACTTACAACTGCATGAAGAAATAAAACGAAGATACGATGTTCATCCTCTCTGGAAACAGCGAAAGGCTAAAGGACATTATCATAATTTGGTAATAAAACAGAATTGGTATGACTTTATGTTTGTCTTTAGTTTGAAAAATATTAAAACAAAAATCTTTTTATATATAGATGAAAGATATGAGAAATAATCATTCCTCGTTTTTTTCGAAATTATTTAAGAATGGCTCTGCCACAGTTTGATCAGCTATTACGACTTACATCAAAAAATATAATAATAACGAGTTTATATTACCTGGTGAACGTTTAGCTATTCGCCTACATTAAAGTAAAATTCGCGAATAATAGTTCAGATAAAAAGTTAGAATTAAATAGTTTATCAACTAATTAAATGCTTTTCTGAATTTTTGGCAATTGGAGACTCTTACAAGTCTTTAGCATATGCATTTTATGTAGGATTTTCACCAGTCCAAAAAATAATTCCAGAAACTTGCCAAGTTATTTGAGACACACTTCGAGAAAAATACATTCCAGTGAGTATTCATGTATGTCTGGTATATAAATATATAACATAGAAAATATACACTACAATGCTATTTAAAATTTCATACATAATTGTAAGTATCGTGATAATTCTATGGTTTTGCACTGCATTTTATTTTTATGTATATATTACATTAGTTTATTCTGAAATATATCAGTTGTACTGTTCATTCCTTGCAGAAACTTACTGGATATGGAGGAAGTCTGCCATAGAATTTTAAAAATTATGGCAATTCCCAAATTGCTGTGGAGTAGTCGATCGCAAACATGTTAATATTCAGAAGCCTGCAAATAATGGCTCTCAATTTTACAATTATAAGGTAAAATTTTCAAAAATAATGAATAACTTCTTCATATAAATGATTAGAAAATCAATGCAATCTTGTAATCTTATTTTAAAACATCAGTTTCTCATTATAATGCATTTTATAACATATAGAGTAAACGAATGAATATGCTCCACGTAAAACCGGAGGTTGCTGCATTCGCGAATGATATGATGGAATTATCCAAATTGTTCATTAAGTTCAAATAAAAGTACAGGGTAGACTGAAAGTCTTTAGCCGCTTGCGTGCCAGAGATATTAGAGAGGTTTGCGGCCGAAGTTTTCATCTCTCAAACGTGAACGTCGAACGTCGAGCGCCGCTTACAAGATTGCAGCGCTCGACGTTCGGCGTTCACGTTTGAGAGATGAAAACTTCGGCCGCAACCTCTCTATTTGGCCGTCCCTACCAATGCTGATCACGAGTAAATTCAAAATCTAAGTCAACTCATGAGAGCTTACTAGTATGCTGAGAGGGGTAAAAAAAAAATCCATAAAAATATTTCATATATATTTTATTTTCATTTTATTCAAATGAAGCCGATAATACGGGCCTTTGTTCAAAGTTATATTTCTGCGCCGCCATAAAATACAAGTTGCAAATTAAAATGAAATTTTCCTTATTTAGTATACAAATATAATACATACGTATATGTATATAAAAATTAATTTAACTCTTCTGTGTTCGAGTTCCCACCAGTGGCCAAGCGGTCTTTATCCTGAAAACTGGGAGTTCGGTCGTGGGTTCGCGCTTCGTTCCGACGGACTGGCCACGTGGAGTTTTCCGTATTTTCTCCACGTCTGTAACGCCTAAATAGGGGCCAGTTTTTCTTAAAAAGACCTCCCAGAAGGCATTTCTCTTAAGCAGATCGCCCAAGTGTTGCATTGCCATAACTTAATAAACAATTCTCTGTGTTCGAACTAATTCCGGAGCCTTACCCTGTACCTCAATTATTACATAAAATACTCAAAATAACTATTTGATATTTGGTACAATGTTTGAATTAGTGTTTGAAATACTTTAGCATATTTCAAATACCCCATAATATTTGAAATATGAAAAATATTTTAAATATTTAATTTAAAAAATTCGTCTCAAATATCCGACGAGCTATAATATTCTAGCTCGTTGGGTATTTGAGACGGCCCGCTTGGGATGGCCGAAGCGGTTTTAAGGCGTCACGCTAATGCTCTTGGAAACTCTGGATCAAATCCAAGCGGCCGAAAAATCCCAAGAATTTTCGAAAGTAGTGTGTGTGGGCTTCATCTTTCACCATCCGGCCGACTCCATTGTGGGCTTGGTCGGACCCACGATGGATATGATTAAAAGGCCGTTTTAGTGTCTACGTAACTAAAAATAAAGAACCCTCTTGTATTTGTGTTATGCAGAAATGTATTTAACATTCTCAAATATTTAAATGATAAAATTTATTGAAAAACTTCGTAAGCCATTACAGAAACAATTTTATCATCATCGTCTGTAATCCATGAGATGGAAAGGAGTCTAACAAAACAAAAATAATGAATAATTCAATTTGCTACAGAAAAAATTTTAAAATTACAAATTAATTTATCTTATAATAAAATAAATCACGTAAAATTTATAATAACGAGTTTTGCAATATACTTCATACTTAATTTTTTTTTAAATTAAAGAGAGGAAAAGTTGGCAACCTTGTGAACTATGTAAGGTTAATGTCAGATGTTAGAATCGTAGGAGTAATATCGTTGGAGTTGACATTTTCTCAACTCTAGCAATCCATTCCGATATGTTTCGGTTTTTATTTATAAAAATTACCAACTACAATCGAAGAAGTTAGTAAGAATTACTCTACAATGGAATTTGCTAGATCCGTATTGGGAATGCCTCCGGAAGGATACAGCAGTAAAGGCACAACAGGTGGATATATTCACATTTTGATAATTTGATTTTTATTGTGAAGAAATTGTGTCGCAGATACGTTCCAAATACATTTAACAAAATCAAAAGCTAAAGTAAATAAATTTGGTAATATATATGAATATTGTGAAAACATTAAAACTAAAATATGATCAATCAAAATATCACACATATATATATTAATGTAATGCTAATTTTAAAACAAGGCTAGAGACATATTGTCAACTAAATAAACAAATGTTTTCCAACTGTGTTAAAGTTGAAAGAGATAAACCTGACAAGACCATTTAACATGGTTAAAGTTTTAGTAAATACATAGTAAATGTTTGTTTACTATGTATTTACTAAAAGTTGTTTATGTGCTGAAGTTCAAAAATGTATTTATAAGCGAGGTTGAGGCTGAAGTTTTAAACGCGAAAACATGTATGTCGGATGTTCAGCGCCGCTTTCCTGTAAGCCTAGAAGTTTGACAATAGAAGTAGTCAGTGGAATTATGCTCAACATTTTAAACACCATTGTCAAACTTCTAGGCTTACAAGAAAACAGTGCTGAATGTCCGATGTACACATTTTCACATTTAAAACTTTGGCCTCGACCTCTCTATAGTTTTAATACTGATTGTAAATGTTAACTCATAGTGTATCTAAGTATAAAAACCTAATAACTGACATACTTCTAATTGTTTAGTATAAATTCAAATTTTATAAATTAGGAATCGTACAAAATATTTGGAAAGTTTCTAGACCATTCTGTTTTATTTCCGATAGATATATATATAAAATGTAGATATTACATTATAGTTCTGATATATCTATTAACCTGAAATTGTTATCAGTTAATTCCAAAGTAGTTATGTTGTTCAGGTAACTTGAAAAAAANATATAATAATAATAATTTCTATTTATATTATTAATTATAACAAAAAGACAAAAGGCATAGTTTTGAGGATAGGGACAAGTTTTAAAAATACAATATTGTAAATGCCAATAATGGTTAAAATTTTCATTAAATTCTATCCCATCCAAGGTACATGACACCCTCTATCTCCTCACCCTCTCAACCTTTTATCATCAAAATTTAATATCACCAATGTCATTTATACATAAGTTATCATGCCAAATTTTGTGTTAAATGTGAATGTGTTAAAGATTAAAATCTTTAACACATTCTGAAATATTAAATAAAATAGATGCCAACACACACACACATTCTAGGTATCAGTTTTTTTTAACATTTCCAAATTCAGAGGTATCAAAACATTAAGATTCCAAAAAACCCAGATTACAATATTATATAATAAGTCAGGAATCTAACCTGGGTTAAATCATAACAGCCAAGAAAGTAACAGGAAAGTAAAAATTTGAAATGATTACAATACTTTTCTGTGTTGTGTTATAACAGCCAAGAAAGTAAAAAAATCATGAAAAAGGAATGGTCAAGGCATATTTTTTTATAATTATGTTAACATTTTGATTATTGATTTTCAATCTAATTATAAAAATTAAAGACTGTTGAGAAAAATGAATTCAAATCCAATATAAACATCAACTGAAACCCCATGCATAGCAAATAGACACCCACAATTGCCAGTAAATAATCTAAATAATTGGCTATATTTTTTATTATGTGATTATCTTACTTAACTTTTTAATTTTTTTTTCGACAATTACCATTTTCAGAAGGCATTCTTTTCAATATTTTATAGTTTTCTTGTTTAAGATTTCTATAATTAATTCTTATTATAGTTCTTAATTTACAAAAATCTTTTATTAAAGTAAAAGGTAAAACTGTTTCCACTGACTAATTCTGTACAACTCCGGGGCCTTTTTTATACGATTCATCGTGATATATTTCGAAATATTTATTCCATTCTATAATTTTTGCTAGCCATTCATCAGTAGGTTTAATAAGCCCTCCATAAGATAAATGTTGCACCCATGACGGAATGCTATAGTTGTAATGATTTTTAATTTTGTTAGTGGAATTAATTAAGTTTGGGTATTTTTCTTTATATTTATAGGCAAAATATCCTGCTATATACTCGAGAGCATCGTAGGAAGTTTCTTCAGAGATTGTGTTAAAGTCTAGATTGCATGTAGAGTTTCCTGAAGATTTATTTGAAGAAAAAGTAGTTTTACATTCAGTATATTGGTCTGTATTTTCACTTGATACTTCTACATGTGCTTTCTCTAAAACTTTGGGTATAATATATTCCTCTTGTCTTCGATCTGTAGTATTTACTTTTGACTCTAAAATACCAGGATTCTTACCTAAAATAATCAATCTAATCCTATATATAGCATTTAATGGGCTTGGATGTTCATTAGGACTCCGGCTTCTAATTTAAAAAAAAAAGTTTTCCAGACAATCTTGATTTAAATTGTGAGTGCAGATGTATTTTATATCAAAAGTCGATTTCATATCTTGAAAAAGATCAATTAGCGATTTCATTGAGATTATCATTCCTTTCTGGAAAATTTGGAGGGCATTTTTTCCACTTGCTCTCATTGTTGAGATTATTTTTATCATTTTATTTAAATGTTCTTCTTGTAATTCCAAGTCTACACCATATCCATTTTTGCTTGGAACAGAACCTTTTGGTGCATAGCTATTAAAAATGTCGAACCACATATTTATATCTCTAATATACGTTTCATTGATAATAATAATTGATTCATAATAAACGTTTCATTGATATTCACATTCAATTCTTTCCATAAACTTATGTTACTGCAACTACAGTCACTGACGCAAGCTACTACATTATACGATAGTAAATAAAGTTCTGCTATTAATTTTAAAAGTATTTCTCTTGTCATTTTTTGATCAAACCCGATGTAAACAGGTTGCTTCCAATTTGAAAAAAGAAGGTTATTATTGCAACCATACACAGCACACCTAGTACTCAGCATTTTGTTCTTCACCTAACATAAAAATATAGCTTTAAATATTTAATGACTTATATTTAAATCATCTTACCTTATAAAAAACTTAGTCAAATAAAACAATTACAGAAATATTAAAATAAATCACTTCGTTAATCACAAAATTGGACGAATATTAAAAGCGAAAACTAAACACGTGCACACCCTGCTCTATGTAAACAGAGAGGTCAGGACTTGTGCTGACGTCACTAACTTGGCATTCCTGGCTAACATTGTAGAATAGGGATCTGGCTATCCTTGTAGTATATAGTCCTTGAAATTGACCAAGAAACTGGAGTCACAGCCTGGATCCAAATCCAGTGTTGTAGGAAGTGATATTTGGCAAATTCTTGAAGGCATTTAGGAACTGTTGGTACCACTCTGTATTGGTCCAAAGCTCCAACTTTAGATGGCAAACATCCAGCATGGCAGTCTAGAAGGAGCTTGAAGTCCTAAATCCAAATCATAACTAATCATAGCAATAATCATAATCATAAATATAATCATAGCAATGGACAGTATAACTTCTTAATTATGCAGATTCTCAAGAAAGAGATACCAAAGGAAGAGATAGCATATTACAATGCTTTGATGATCAATGAAAACAGAGCAGTATGCAGTAATATAATAAATTTCTGAAAGCATTCTACCAGGGAAATGCCAAATTTGAGTAAGCTGGCATTAAAAGCTCTATCAGTTCCTGCTAGCAGTACAGATGTAAAGAGTAGCTTTTTACCCTGAACCATATTCTTAAGCAGAAAAGATCGTCATTTACTAAGGAAAATTTGGACATTTGTATTTGCCTCATGTTCAACTCATCTGATCTATTATATTCAGATGAAGATATATGGTAAAAGAAGTATTGAGAATCAGGTAAACCAATAAAATTCTGCAAAGAAAATCTGTGCGCTGAATGCAAATGTAATTTAAAAAATATATAAATTAGGCAGAATAAATCAGAAAATTTCTGTTAAAGCATAATATAGCAGAATTTTTATTTTATAAAGCAGTTTTATAAAAAATAAAGCAGATTGTGGGTTGTCCAGTATGTGATGTTTTGGCAGAAATCCTACATTTAGTGTTAACAGTGAAGTAAACAATATCAGTTAATGTTAACATCCCTTCTACTTATCTGCCATTACTTTCATAAATTTTAAACAAATATAAGTAAATTTAGTTGATTTTTGTATTTGAAATTTCAGAATGTTTGTGTTTTGACTATATTTTCAGAAAGGTTTTATCTAGTGACATGCATATTACATGAATGAATATATGTTATGTGAATGTACTATATATTCTTTTATTGTACAGTTGAATTTAAGGTTTTTGTTTTTAAAATTTTGAAATATAAATTAACAAGACTTTTTTACAAATAATGGAGATCACAAAGTTGAGAATGAGTATTTAACGATACACCAGTTTTTATTTCAAAAGACTTTCATCTCACTGTTGATATCTTCTTTAATTCATTTAAATTGAATTCTAAATACACATATACTTACATTGATAGTTATTTAAATATATTGACAAAACCATATTTAAGAAAAAGCATCTTCATAATAGATTTTTTAAAAACAATTTTTTATATCTGAGGGCCTTTCTTGTTATATGTATTTGATGATTACTTTGACATTTTCCCATGATTCTGTAAATACAGTAGAGCATCAGTTATCCGAACAAGATAACTGATTTTTCGGATAACTGATCATTTACGAAAAATATATTTAAACACAAAACTGTACTGTATATAATTTGTATCACATGCCTTACAAATACATACCTTACATAATGTAGTATATTAAACTAGGCCTACAGTTTAGGTTGGCAGGGAGGGGGAGAGTGCTGCAATGCCACAGCACTAACGGAAATTTGAATTTGCCGACTGGAAAGCTTTTGGTTGATCGGTATTCAGGTAATCAATGCTGTACTGTAAAAAGTTATCTGAAAACAGAGATTGCCATACTACAATGATAAGTATAGCAAAATAATATCCTATCCATGTAGTATAACTTTTCTTTGAAGCAAATTGCATGTGAATTAATTAAAATCAACTATTTATTAATGTAAGTTTTTTAT